ATGCGCACGTGCTAGAGTGCTCGTGCCCGTGCCCATGCTCGTGCTCATGCTCGTGCTCACCCCACCGGAATTGTGTGCTGTAGACAGCAGACATGTGCCACCGCACGCGCGGCGCCCTGCGCCTATGTATGAGTACCTCATAACTTGACACGTGTCCACCTGTCCCATCCTGAAAAAGTAGTAGCAACGTGTACACGTGTATGTTATCATTGGCATTGTGATGGAGGAAATGCGATACCCTTCTGGGGAGGCTGAATTCTGAAAAGGGGTGCTGAAATCATTTCTCACTTCTGCAGGCGTATAGTCACTGTCACTATTGAAAAGAAAAGAGAGAATTGCCAAACCGTGTGACATAATAATAATAATAATAATTGCTCCATTCCGTGGAAATCAATAAAAATGCAATCGCCCTTGGAGAGAATATTTCTAAGACGAATAAGCAGAACCTTATACAGGTTCTCCAATGAGGGAAGGGATTGAAAGGCGTGCACATCTATACAGGAGATCGCTGACAGAGGCAAAAATGTAATGCCATTCCACTGACATCGACTCCACTCGGAGTCGAAAGTAATTGAGCCTCCCAGAAGGGTACTTTACATTGTTTACCTCACGCCGTTCCCGTTTGCGGTGAGGGGAGCAATTGTAATGACCCTCTGAGGGCTGTAAGTACAGTACTGCAATATGCAACATACGACAGCTATCATACCTCATTGTCGCGTACACTCACCTACTCTGCGCACCCTACAGCGGCCTACAGCGCACCCTACAGCGCACTCTTCTGTGCTCTACACCATCCTCCTTTACAGTACTTTCGTACCTCCTCCCCTACCTGCTACAGTGAATCCTCGCTAACTGCATATGAAAAGTGGACGGCTTTCGTATGCAGTTGGCGAACATATGCACTTGTCGAAAATGTCCATATATAGGGCATCTATGGAACATCAGTAAACGCCTCATTTTTATTCAAAAAATTCAGATATGCAGGTCTGCCGTGCTGACTTGGCCTGCTGGAGTTTTACATCACGCTGCAAGGTGCGCAGAGAGCCCAAGACTAGCGGGTCTGCAAAGTCCGCGCTCTCAAGAAGGTGGCGCACTACAACAATACACCTCAAGCGCTCTTCATATCCGACCCCCTCCAAGTAAGATGCAGTCTCTGCATCACTTTCCTCGCTTTCAACTTCCCATTCTGTCATCGCCGCCACTGCCCCCGATACAAGAGTTGTGTCATCGGCTTCTTCTAAAACATTGTTCTCATCCTCAGGATTTGTTATAAAATCAATATCCATCTGTGTCCGAGGTGCGACGAGTTCGGACATTGCAGCCAATACCTCTGCCACTGTACTATCTTCAACGTTTTGCACCTCTTCAGTTCCCATCACTAAACCGGTGTGATGCCAGCAATTCTTCAAAGCTGAGGCTGGAATGTCGTCCCACATTCGTCTCATCGCCTTCATAGAAGTCAACTGATCGACCGTGTATATATTATCCACCTTAGCATACATATAATCCAGCGCTCTCTCGTACTGCCACTTCCGATATCGTACCTTCAGTGCAGCGATAATGCCTGCGTCTAACGGTTCCAGTTTAGACGTAGTGTTCGGCGGCAAAAAAATAACCTCAACGTTATCGAGTAGTGGCAGAGTTTCCTCTGTACCATGAGCTGAACAATTGTCGAGTAGAAGTAGCACTTTTCGGGATGGACTGGAACGAGAAATGTATGAAGAAAAACGTAGAATCCATGCAAAAAATAAAGCGCTCGTCATCCACGCTTTTTTGTTTGCGTGATAGTCAAACCCCAGTTGCTGTCCTTCCTGTTTCTTAAAACACCGAGGCGTCTTTGCTTTTCCAATACACATCAGTGGAAGGCGCTCCGATCCATCCGCGTTACAGCATGCCATGTAAGTCAAGCGGACCTTCTCGCATTTTCGACCAATTAACCTTTCACTCGTTATCGTGCGATCTGGTGCCATGCGATAGAAGTGGCCAAACTCGTCCGCATTGAAAACATCACAGTGTTTATAAAACTGAATTGTACTGCGTAGCAAGGGCATTTGACGATCAATTGCAGCCTGGTCTGCATCTCCCGATTCGCCATGAGACTTGATGGATTTAAGGTTCCACCGTTTCTGGAAACGGGTCAACCAGCCTGAGCTAAACATAAGCTTGGTTTGTTCTGCTGCGGAAGGGACAAGTTCATGAGATGCTGTAACCTCCTTGCCTTCGCAATAATTAAACTTCCATTCACACAGCGCCGTGCGCGAAATTGAGCATTGATCCAGGAATGTAATGCTGCCTCCAACTCTCTACAATTGCCATAAGTGTAGCGCTTGTGGATTGCTGAAGGAAAGAGGGACGAGCGAGTTGAATTTTTGATGATGAATTTTTGATGATGCGAGAGATGGTAGATTGGTTCGGGTTACGAAGGAGGTGGAATTTGTCGTAGGCCCACTGTGCGAGCGCTTCACCTGCAGAAATTCGACGCACCCGCTCGTCCATTACTTTCTGTTTCTGGACGACTGTGAGTGAGGTGAGTCGTGTATGGGAGTCGTGTATGGGAGTCCATGTGGTTGAGGACGGTTGTGAGGCAACTGGGAGAGCGTGTGCCTATAAACCATGGTGTTGCGATGTTTCACAGTAAATTGAAGTTGGACTGTAGCCTAATGCCTCTGTCCTACGGCCTAAATTCTGCGTGCCGCCGCTGGTGTTGACTTTGCAGTCCGCCGCCGGTGTTGAATTTGCAGTGCCGACGGCGATGGCGAATCACTGCATATTTGTTGTCATACGTTTTTATTTGTTTCATAGGTTGCCTCTGTATGAGGGTTCGATATGATTAAGGATCACTTTCTTGATGCAGTTATGCGGTATGCGGTCCAGTGTCATATGCAAGCTGGATTCGCGACTCCGCAGCTGGTAGCTGACGAACGCATGCAGATATCGAGAATATGCACAAATCGAGCATGCAGTTAGCGAGGATTCACTGTACTCCCTCGTCTTCTGCTCCCTCGTCTTCTGCTCCCCAATCTCCCCCTCCCCAATCTCCCCCTCCCCAATCTCCCC